TTCTCCCTCTGACCCTCCTCCCTCTCATGCTCTCTGTCTCTCATTCTCTCTCTCGCAAATAAATAAATAAAATCTTTAAAAAAAAAAAAAGAGAGGATTTCTGTACCTGATGTAATGCGATACTGGGCGTGTGCAAGTCAATAGTGGCCAGAGAAGGAATTCGAGATTCTGAAAGATTTTTGTTCTCTTTCCTTATTAACCTGGAATTTCGAGCTAAATAAAAATAACCATAAACACAGTAAAAAATTAGACATTTTTTTAGCTTTTCCACATTCTGAATCTGTCCCTCAGTGTGTACTCAGTGTACACATTTACTTACATACATCTGTACATATTTACATAAATATGTAAAGTTACTCTAATTTTTATATTTAGTATTTTGTTAGTTTATTTAGCATACATTTTCAATAATGTATACAAAAAGGCTGAAAAAGTAAAAGCATTATAAACATACCTATGCCTTCCAAGGCTCTTAGTTCAGGGAGATGATTATAGTTTAGTTCAGGCAAACGGACATCTGTCTTAGAGTATTCCCTTCTTTTCTTATTTGCCTGAAGTAGGCTCTTTTCACTAGTGACCTAATATCAGAATGATTAACACAAGTGAATTAGCTTCCAGGTAAGCTTGGCTTGCCCCTTTTGTAACTAATATATTGATATCCTAAACTTTAGGAATTTAAGAATAACACAAAACTTCAGAAGTCCTGCAATGAGCTTTTGAGTTTCTTTAATTGGATGTTTCTTCTTGTTCTCTGAATAGAGTAAGTGTTAAGGCTCTTGGTTCAAATCAGTTATAAAATAATTAGTTCAAAAGAACTATCTGTAAGTACAAAAAAAATAATGAGTTCAAACTACTAGATTTACATATTCAAAGAGTGACAAATAAAATATATAAGAGATGCTTATAATAATACATTATTCACATCTCAGAATTAGAGCATGAGGCAGGGGAGAGGGGTATTGGTCTTCAACCCAGATGTTGAAGAAAGTTTAGGCTTAACTCTGCCTCCATTAATTTTCATCAAGAAGAGACTCAAATGTGTCTTCTCCCCACTAATCTCTACCTCCTCTCTTGACTGCCTCTTAAAAATAAGGATAAACAGAAATAAGATCTAAAATTAACAGACAGCCTTGATTATGCAATGCCTGAAAGAAAGCCGATATCAATTCCAGCAACGTGGTATCGAGCCAGCTACTCTGAAAAGCCTTGCTGATCAAAGTAATCTGCCAAAGCAGACCAAGAATGTAAAACACAAAAATATCTACAGAGAAATCAGTAGGGTGTGGAAGAAAAGGGAAGTACTATGGTTATAGAAATTGTGGGCCAAGAATAATAAAAAGAAAAACAAATGCAATGCCCAAATCATGAGAGATATGAAAAGAAGGCTATATTTTTCAGACTGAGGATAATGAGAAGGGTAGAGGAGGGAAATCTGGGAGAAAAATACTCCTTTGGGAACACATCCACACCTCCCATTCCCTGGCAGAAGAATTAATTCACCACATTCCTTAAACATCTTCTATGTGCTAGACACTGTATTAGGTATAGGGTAGAGCTGTAAGGAAGGAAACAAACAAAACACATATTTCTGCCTCGGAAACTTACATTCTAGTTGGGAGAGACAGACAATATATAAATAAGTGAATATAGAGGCTGTTAGGTGTATGCAATGGGAAAAAAATTAAGCAAGGAGAGAGGATAGAGAGTAATGGGAGACAAAATGAGTTCAAATATTAGGGAGGACCTCACAATAGGCTTCATGTAAGCCAAGGAGGAGAAAAAGCAAATTCTTTGGATTATCGGGGGAAAGAATGTTCTAAAGCAGAGGAAATAACAAGTGCAAAAGCCCAAATATAGGAGCATGTCTGGTCATGTTTGATGAATACAAGGAAATCAGTGGGTTGGAATGGATTGATCAAGAATGAGAGTAGCCGGAATGGAATAAAGGGATGAGGAAGTCAATCAGGGATTTCCAGGCCCTGTCAAGGACTTTGGTCTTTATTCAGAGATGACAAGACAATGGAGGGTTTTGAGTGGAAGAATAATGATGATTTAAGTTAACTTTAAAAAGAAGCATTCTGGCAGCTATGTTGAGCATAATAACACTCCTCTGAATCTTCAGAAGACCTCTGAATCTTCAGAAGACCTCTGAACCTTGTACATGATTCCACTATTATAATCTGTCACTGTTTGAATATGTTGATCCTAAACTAGACCATGAGCTCCTTGAAGAGAAGGATTTGATTTATCGATCTCCAGTGTCTCATATATAATACATAATAAATTTTTGTAAATGAATAAATAGAATACTTTCACCAAAAATCTGGCATGAGTGAGGTACAATTTATCTTGTCACCTACTCTACAAAAGAACCTATCACCAAGTATTAAGAAAATGTAGTATTACCAAAAAAATTAAAGCAGATGTCATTTAAATAATATCTTATATTTAAACTTCTAGACTTGCAAAACTTACTTAAACTTTAAGATTTTCACATTTCTGATTATGACAGGTTGGGATGATATACATATAATTAAGGTTCCACTTTATGATATGTCTCCAAATAAAAGACTCAGTTCTTCGCTATTATATTTAAAATGAGTGGAAGTCTAGAAATGACTAATGCTTGCTCGTCTACCACTGGGAATAGTTCACTTACTGATGAGGTCACATTAATATTATAAATGCCTGATGGAGAATGTTTATTTGGTTTAACAAATGGAATACAATTCTTCTTGGTTTTCTCATCCACTCTGTAACAACAACAAAAAATTTAAGTTAGAACCAGCGGTAATTATTTTTCAAGCACAAAACCAAAACCAAATGACACAAAACCAAGCGACCTGCAGTTTAATCAGCATTTAATGCCTGTTCTTAAATACACAATGAATATAGATCTGGTGAAACATTCTGTCCTTTGCCGCTACCCTCATGCCTCCCACCTAGCTCCCAACTCCAACCAAATAAATTACTTTCCTTCAGCAAAATTTCCAAAATAAGCTTCTTTGGACCACCAAACTCCCACAGCCATACCATGTAGCAGCAGACCCTTAAAACCAATTACTGCTTTTATTATGATAACCTCCTTTCACATTTTTAGACTAAATAGTTGTAAAGCTTCTTCACCTTAAACAGTACACAATCCTTCTTTCTTAATACTCAGGTGAGTTTTTTTTAATCAAATGCTAGTAATTTTCATCACGTAGGCCAAAAGGCTTTTGAAACAGAATCCTGACAAGAAAGAAGAGCACCCGGAAGCCTGAAACTAACATAATATGGCTGAATTGACAAACACTTGCAATTTGCAAACATACCCTTTAAACAACTCTTTGTTCTTATTTTCCTAATTCATACCTGTAACTCGGAACTCCTGGGATAGTCACCATTCCAGAATTAATACCGGGAGCCACCCCAGCAAGGCTGTGCGCAAGGCGAGGGATTGCCACGCCCGGACTTCTAGAGTGGTCCACACTGCCATCGCTGCAATCTCGGAGGTTGGTAGGAGGCACCGTTCTGAGGTGGCTCATTCCATTGTCAGGGAGACAGCTCGTATTTGAAGCTCGACTGACTTTTTCAACCTTTTCTCCATCCATTTTTGACCCTTTTATTTTAAATACTTTAGAATCCTTAATTTTGGGATCAGCATTGGTATCCTGACCATTAATAAAAATGTTAATAACAGTATGTTAAATATACTGCAATAAACAAAATATATTGCCTTTGCTAAAAAAAAAAAGTTAAAAACATTAATGATCTGAGGAGAATGAAAAATCATCTCTTCCTATAAAGAATTTGTCAACCAAAGCAAAATTCCATAAATACCACCTTACTGTGCTCCTGTTTTCTTTATTCTATCTATAGAATTAAAATTAAACCCAGGATTCTTGGTCAGACATGTATTTTGAATAAAAATGCAGGGGCGCCTGGTTGGCTCAGTCGTTGGGCATCTGCCTTCGGCTCAGGTCATGATTCCAGGGCCCTGGGATCGAGCCCCGCATCGGGCTCCCTGCTCCGCGTGAAGCCTGCTTCTCCCTCTCCCGCTCCCCCTGCTTGTGTTCTCTCTCTCTTGCTGTGTCTCTCTCTGTCAAATAAATAAGTAAAATCTTTAAAAAAACTTTAAAAATAAAAAATAATGCAATTCACGGGGCACCTGGCTGGCTCAGCCAGTAGAGCATGCAACTCTTGATTTCAGGATTGTAAGTTCAAGCCCCACGGTGGGTGCAGAGATTACTTAAAAATAAAAAGTCTCTAAAAGAAAAAGAAATGCAATTCACATTAGCATCAGATTAATATGATACATACATATAGCAAATTTATATATATATTTCAGTAGAAAAAAATGTGAAAGAGGAACGAAGTACGCCCACTTTTGTTCTTATATATCTAAAGTACAAATTGAAATATAAAATTGATAACTCCTTCTTCTTTCAGTTCACTTGAGAAACTGGGAGTGGGTTGGCAGTGGACTTGAATTACCTCACCAAGAACAGATTCTGGATAACCTACCTGCAAAAGTAAACTTCAAATAATTTGAATATCAATTTTAAAATGCTCTATACAAAATTTTTAAAGTGATCTTTTTCTCTCCTATCACTTAAGGAAAAAAATGGTTTGTGTCCATGTGTTTACATGTGAGCACAAGTATCTAAATGTTCTTAGATGAATATGATTTCCTGACAAGACCTATTGCACAGTCGGATACACAGTAGGCACTCAATACATGATATATTAAGACAGTTTTTTAAAAGGGAATGTCTAAAAAGAAGATAACATTTTTACAACTAATCTAAAAGTTAACGTGTTCACCACTCAGAAAACCTTTCTTCATCTTCATTTTTTAACTCCAAAAATTTAAGGATAAACTAAATCTAAAACTGAATATACACTG